GTAATGTCCCCTTTAAATTTCCATTTACATAGTTTTTCTTTTCTTTCTTTCCGGTTTTTTTCCCTTTTAGAATGTTTCTTCTGCATACAGTTTTTTTGTATTCCTGTCTTTACTTTTTTCGCTACCTTCTTTCTCAATGTTTGGACTGGTAAAGGGTGTGTGTGAAAAATCTCAGCACAGTCCTTTCTTTGTAGACACACCCCACTCTCCTCCACATTCTGTTCCAGTTCTTCCTCATTTTCTACTTCGTCATCAATCTCCTTTTATTCCTTTCTGGATTGCTTCCCTCAATATTTTTTTAAATTGTTCTAACGATAAATCTTCTATCAGGGTGTTGTCATCAATCTCCTCTTCCTCCTCTCCTGCCTTTGACGCCATTTTAATTATCTTGTTACAATTAATCATTAAGAGTTCCATTCTAAAGAGTCTTTTTGGTTTCCTCTTAAATCCTCTTGGTTTCTTCATAAATCTGTTAAACAGCCTCTCCCACGAGCGTCCCCAAGATTCCCCTGCAGAAAAGTAAACTTACTTAGAAACAGTTCATCTTCTCTTGCATATTTCTGACCACTCCTTCTTTCCACTCCAAACAAAACAGTCCAGGGTATTTTTGCTTCACTTTCCTTCTCTCATAAGTTTCAAGTTTCAAGCACTCATAATTAATTGTCCTTGGGTTTTTCCTCCTATGTTGCTGTATTCGTTTCTGTCTCTTCATATTTTAATTAAAAAAGGGTGGCTACAGCTATCTGGAACATGCTGACCATGTTCCATCCCACACGCCGCTCCTGCTTCAGGGCAACAATTGGACACCCCTCCGTCTTGCCAGAACAGGAGGGGCCAACAGCAGAAGCCCTCTGCTCCAGTTCTCCCCCCAGGAGACCTGGTGAAGCTCCCACGGCAACCGGGAGGCTCCAAATGGAGCGGCAAGGAATCGAGCAGCTCAGCACAAGCTGAACGCTGCTCATCGCCGTGCCGTGCCAACCGGAACTTATTATGTCTTTCAATAAATGCTGTCAGTTGTTGATTCTGTTTCCAGCTTGCTTTTTTTAAATTCTCTTTTATTGTCTGTCTGCAATAAACCTGATTTCTTTTATAGTGCGTCCCCTCTTCTCTACTGTGTGGGCAGTGGGCACTATGTATAAGTATCTTGCATAAGGTTGCCAACTCTGGGCTGGGAAATCCCTGGAGATTTGGAGGTGGAGCCTGAAGAGGACAGGGTTTGGGGAGAGGATGGACCTCAGTTGGGTGTAATGCCACAGAGTTTAAAGTGGCCTTTTACTCCAGGCGCACTGATTTTTTTGTTTTATGTTCATAACAGCCCTGTGAGGCAAGTTAGGCTGAGAGAAAATGACTACTGAAGGTAAACTAGTAAGTTTCATGGTAACCAAGGATTTGAATTCGGCTGTTCATAGTCACAGTCCAGTTCTCTAACCACCAGGCCTCGGTTCCTGCCGGAGTGCACCGGAGCACCGCTCCGCCAGTCAGGAGCCCAGAGGGCGGGATCATAAGCCCCGCCCCCTGCTCCCAACAGCCATCAGTTGGGCAACCGTGTGTGTGGGGCGAAATGTTCCCCCGCCTCCCTGAGCCCTGGGGTGGTGGCCTTGGACTTGTATGGGCAAATTCCACCTCTTGCGCGAGAGGCCATTCTGGCTCCCCCAGCTGTTCTTACAAGCTCTTTAAAAACTTATGGCCGCCGCTGCTATTCTCGGCGACAGCTGCGATGCCCGCGGGGGGGCGGCGAAACGTTCTCCTGCCTCCCTGAGCCCCAAGGTGGTGGCCTTGGACTCGTAGGGGCAAATTCCACCTCT